AAAAACCAACTCTTGGTTTTTTATTGATCTCTTCTATTGTTATTCTCATGTCTGTCTCATCTATTTCTGCTCTAATCTTTATTATTTATTTTCTTTTGCTAACTTTGGGTTTAGTTTATTCTTATTTTCCTAAATCTTTGAGGTATAACTTTAAATTATTTATTTGAGACCTTTTTTGATAGAGCCATTTATTGCTATGAGCTTCTCTCTTAGAACTGCTTTTACTGTGTCCCATTAGTTTTGGTATGTTGTGTTTGCATTTTCATTTGTCTCAAGATACTTTTTAATTTTTCCTTCAGTTTCTTCTTTGACTCACATTAGGTGTACAGGAGCATGTTGTTTAATTTCCATTTATGTGTGAATTTTTCAAAAATTCCTTTTGTTAACTGAATTTTAGTTTTATACCATTGTGGTCAAAAAGGTTTTCTTAAATGTTTTAGAACTTATTTTATGGCCTAGCATATCATCTGTTTGAGAGAATGTTCCTTGTGTGCTTGAGAAATATTCAGTTGTTGTTGGATGAAATGTTCTGTAGATGTCTATTAGGTCCATACAGTCTAAGACATACTATTAGCCTGATGTTCCCTTGTTGATTTTCTGGCTTGATGACCTGTGCATTGCTAAAAGTGGAGTACTGAAGTCCTCCATTATTATTATATTACAGTCTGTCTCTCTCCTTTCAGCTCTGTTAATATTTGCTTTATATATTTGGGTCCTCTGATACCAAGTGCTTATATATTTACAGCCGTTGCAGTCTTCTGATGAACTGAGCCCTTCATTTATGTAATTACCTTTGTCTCATTCTTCAGTTTTTGATTTTGTCTTTTTTAACTAAGTATGGTTACTTCTACTCTTTTTGTTTCCATTTGCTTAGAATATCTTGCTTCATTTCTTCTCTTTTAGTCTATGTGTCCTTAGAGATAACATAATATATAGTCATTTTTGTTGTCACTGTTTTAACATATAAATCTTCTGTAATTAATCCTGAGGATTGAAACATACTGCTTCTTTATTGAATACCAAATTGTTTCTAATTGTGTTACCAATCTGGAGCACAGCTATAACCTGTTGCTTTGATTTGGCAACAAAAGTCTATCGTGGTATCATTTTTATTTTAAATTAAATTTTTAAACATCATGGGCCTGCTTCACAATTTTTTCTTTCTTCCTGATTCTTTTTAGGATTTGTTCACATGTAATTTAGAGCAAGCATCACAGTTTTTCTGTAAAGGACCTAAAACGAATGCCTTTGTAAGACATACAGCTTCTGTCACAACTACTTCGCTTTGCCATTGTGCCATGAGTGCAGCCATAAACGGTATATAAATGAATGAATTCGGCTTCGTTCCCATAAAACTTTATTTAAAAAAAAAAAAAAAAAAAAAAAAAAAAAACAAACAGGCAGCAGGCTGGAACTGCCCTCTCGGGCCAATTTGCAATTCCTGGTTTTGAAAATCAAATACTTCTACAGTAAGTTTTTTTGTAAAAATGGCAGTACTCTGTTATTCCTTTCCTGCTTCAATTGCAGTTAGTTCATACAGAATTTACCCCTACAGCAAGATATTTATATTATATTATTAGTACTGTGTTAACTTTTTCATCTTAAGCACTAGCTGTTAACTTTATGTTGTGGTAGGTAAGGATTTAGACCTCTTTTCTTCTCCAGCCTCTAAGTCATATACGTATCCTCCTCCGTACCCCTCCATCCTTTTTATATACTTGAATCAGATTTTATGAACATTTTACGTTATTGTGACTGTGAGTAATATACTGAGTGATTATTTTCTTTTTCTGCATAATATTTGTTTTTTAGTTTGTGGTAAGTTTATTTTGTTAGTTTTCTGTCTTATCTCTAGTGTAATACCAAACTATACATCTGCTGTTAACATGTCCTCTCCAGGTATTCAACGCACCAAGTATCCCAAACCTAAGTCTTGTGTCACCATCATCCTGGGAAGTTACTCCTGCCTGGGTCTTCTGTTTCTTGTCTCCTATGCTTTTCTTATTATTTGTATCCTTCCTCATTTTAGTGGAGCCAGTAGCTTCTTGGACAGAAATGTATAAGGGATGTAAATTCTAAAAAAAAATTTGCATGTGGAAGTATTTTTCTTCCTCCCTAGGCTGGAAATTCTTTTCCTTCAGAATTTTAGAAGCATTAGCTGCTCTGTAGTTTGGCTTCCAGAAGTAAAGTCTGGAACCATTCTGATCTGTGTACTGTTTCTTTTTAGGTTATTATTTGGTGACTTGGTTGTTTTTATTTGAAATCTTGTAGGTCTCAATATACCGATATGACTCTCTATTTTCATATATTGTTTTCAGTCTTTTTAGCCTGAAAAGATCGTGTTCTTCATTGGGGTTTTTATATTCTAGCTTTTTTAATACTCTGGCAAGCATGTTTGACCTATGCCTTCGGCAGCCCAGCTTGTCACTAAGTGACTCAGGATACTAGCAGTAGGCTTCCTTCCTAAATTCTCTTCTGTCTTTCCTGTTTTATATCAGGAAACCCAGCAGTGGGCTGAAGAACCAGGGGTTGACTTTGTGCTGTACTTAATGGTCTACAAGTAGACTACATTTCTTGGAAAAGATTGACCAGAAGCTATGTCGAATAGTCAGAATAGAGGTGTATCAGTTTCCTGAGGCTGCCATAACGAAGTATCACAAATTGAGTGGTTTAAAACTACATAAATTTATTTTCTCACAGTTGAGGAGGGTGAAAGCTTGAAATTAAAATGTCAGTGAGGCCATGCTTTCTCTGAAAGCTCCAGAGGAGAAACCTTCCTTGCATCTTCCAGCTGCTGGTGGCTGACGGCAGGATAACTGCAATCTCTGCCTTAGTTTTCACATAGTCTTCACTATGTCTCTCTGTGCACCTATATCTAAATGTTCTTCTTTTTATAAGGAAGCCAGTCATACTGGACTTAGGACCACCCTGATTCACTGCAATTCCATAATAATTTCATCTGCAAAGATTTTATTTCCAACTAAGTTCGCATTCCAAGTTTCCAGAATTTTGGACATGAATTTTGGGGGTACATTATTCAACATAGTACCCAAGTTAATTAAATAGCAGGTGTTCCTGGCACAGGATTTACACCAGGTGTAATTTAAATAAATTACTTTCTGAGTGACATTACTCAGATAAATCCTCCAAATAGAATAGCTTGCATACTGCCATCATCTTGTTTTTATTTTGGTATCCATACATTTATATTACTGGGTTGGAAATGTCTTATATTTGACTATTCACAATGAAGGCTAAATTTAGAATAAAGGCATTTGATACTGGTTGTTCTACTTTCACACACTAGTGAAATTGACTGACTTGCTTTATTAAACCTATATTGGGTGCCTACTATTATTACCAGTTACTATTATAGGCATTGAATCTACCGCAGTGAGGCAAACAAAGTCTCTGCCTCATGGATATGAAAACATAAGTGATGTGAAGTAAATAGTGATGGAAAGTGTTGTGCTAGTTGAGTTGGCATCTAAACAGAGATCTGAATACAGTGAGATGATATCCCAATATTTGGGAGCAGAGTATTCCAGGTAAAGAAGAGATTGCAGTGGTATGGCCTAAGCATCTTAAGGCAGTAAAGCTTAAAGAACAGATACAGGATTAGCATGATTTGAGTATATTTTTTTAAATTACTGTGACTGCCATCTGGAAAATTGACTGTTAAGAGAGCAAGTTGCAAAGGGAAGTGACTAGGTATAAGCTTATTATGTTGGTTCAGGTGAGAGGTGTTGGTGATTTAGGCAAAGGTAGTAAGAATTAGAAATGGTGCCGGGCGCAGTGGCTCAAGCCTGTAATCCCAGCACTTTGGGAGGCCGAGGCAGGTGGATCACAAGGTCAAGAGATCGAGACCATCCTGGTCAACATGGTGAAACCCCGTCTCTACTAAAAATACAAAAAATTAGCTGGACATGGTGGTGTGTGCCTGTAATCCCAGCTACTCAGGAGGCTGAGGCAGGAGAATTGCCTGAACCCAGGAGGCGGAGGTTGCGGTGAGCCAAGATCGCGCCATTGCACTCCAGCCTGGGTAACAAGAGCGAAAACTCCGTCTCAAAAAAAAAAAAAAAAAAAAAAGAATTAGAAATGGTGAGAAGTGACTGGTTCTGGATATATTTTACATTTGGAATCACAGAGAATGTATTGTGACTTTTGAGGAAGAGAAATATTGGAAACAAATCCTTAAGAGTTTTAGGCCTGAGCAACCAGAAGAATGGAAATTACATGCAATAAGATAGAAAGCTATAGAAGAAACAGATTTGTGAGAAAAAAAAAGCAAAAAATTCTGTTGTGGCAGTGTCAAATAGATGTCAAGTTAGGTGGTTTGATATATCAGCTTAGAGCTCAGGTTGAAGCTAGAGGTCGAAATTTGATGTTGTCAGCCTTCATATGGCATTTCAAGTAATTAGCTGGCATCATGATGTTTCCAAAATTTATAAATGTGTTGAATATTGTATATAATATTCCGATTCAGTCATATCAAATATTTATAACATATTTTCTATGATCCGAGCATTGTTCCAGGCCCTGAGAACGTGGCCATGATAGTAGACATTTAAAATAGAAATAAAGAACATTAGATAATTTCTAGGTCTCTGTTAAATGGGACTTCAAATATTACAATAGTCTCACACAGATTAGCACTAATATGTTATGTCATTCTTTGATATTTAGTTTTCTTAATTAGATCAGTTAAGTTCTTTGATAGTAAAAACTATGTTTTTTTTTAATGTTACACATGGTGCTTATTACAATTAAGTGTCCAAAGAATATTTATTAATAATTAAGTAATAATTTTAATTGTTCAGTCAGTAATATTTTTGTGTGAACAATCTTTGTCTTTAGCATGGATTGATTATATAGATAAGTTATCTAAGGAGAATATTAACTGGTTCTATTCTCCAACTCTAATTTTAAAGACTACGATAGATTTTATTTTATTCACTTTCAATAGTGTCTTTATTTTACTTCCTAACATTAATTTGCAGCCAGATTCTACTGCAACTGAAAGAGCAATTGCCAGACTAGCAGTACATCCTCTTCTGAAGAAAAAGATAGATGTCCTAAAAGGTATGAATTAAATGACTTTTAAGCAATGTACTTAATGTATATGTAGACTTTGGATAATGGCTATCACTTACTTTAAATACTTTTATGGTTCTTTTAACTCTTGGAAGATCTATTATAAATGTAAGTTTCTTTCACATATTTACCAATGTGGAAGGTTTCTGAAAATACGGAAAGTATCTGTGATCTCTGAAGAAAAACCAAATCTGTATTTTTTAATAAATTCATAATATAGGTTTTTATATATAACATATACATGATAAAGATGAATAGTTTTTTTTAATACTGACATAACTCATTACTTTTGGTTTTGCCTGTTAGTCACATAATTTTCATTTATATGCATTTATAATAAAATATTTATACAATGAAATGTTTTTGTCACATTTTACATTGATTTTTATGTCTGAAATCGCAATTTATAATACTCAATGCATTATTACTGTAGAAATTAAAGTTGTCATTTCCTTTTATTTATTTGTATTCTGTGACGTTTTTACTGTTCTTCATAACTCCAAGACATGAAGAAAGGATTTTCTTTTCACTTCACAATTTAAAATGAATATGTCTGAGTATATCATATGTTATATTTGTTTGTTTTTGTTTTTTGTTTTTTTTGAGATGGAATCTTGCCCTGTCACCCAGGCTGGAGTGCAGTGGCGCAATCTCTGCTCACTGCAACCTCCGCCTCCCGGGTTCAAGCAGTTCTCTGCCTCAGCTTCCCAACTAGCTGGGATTACAGGCACACACCATCATGCCCAGCTAATTTTTGTATTTTTAGTAGAGATGGGATTTCACCATCTTGGCCAGGCTGGTCTTGAACTTTTGACCTTGTGATCCACCTGCCTTGGCCTCCCAAAGTGCTGGGATTACAGGCATGAGCCACTATGTTTGGTTTTTAAGAAGTTGAAAGATCTCTTTGTGAATTCAGACCCATTATATGTACTTAATATCAATTCCAATTGCCCTTTTAAATCTTTTCAAATAATTTTTAAAATAGTGTTCTAAAACAGTCATGTTTTGTATGTTTCACTGCTAAAATAAATCATGCATTGTTTCTGTTACAGCTGCTGTTCAAGCCTTTAAGGATGCAAGACAAAATGTTGCTGAAGTTGAGTCATCAAAGAATGCTTCAGAGGACAATCATTCTAAGAATACTTTGTATTCAAATGATAATGGAAATAATTCACAGCATGAAGGAACTGTTAGTGAGCAAAAAGTGAAAGAAAACAAAATACTGGCAAAGAAACCAACACATAATTCAAAAGAAAAAATAACCAAGGTAGAACATGGAGGTAAAGCTGTGACTATTCTAAATTCTCCATCAAAGCCTTCAGAAAAGGATTCTGTAGTTTCCCGAGAGTCCCAGAAGACACCTGCTGACCCAAAACTGAAAAAACTAAGTCAAACCAAAAAAACCAAAGAATCTGATAGCTCACTCTATGGTAACAGTGATGGCGTAGAAGAATCATGTGAAGAGGAGAAGGAGTATTTTGATGATAGCACAGAAGAAAGATTTTACAAACAGTCTTCCATGTCTGAAGATAGTGATAGTGGTGACGACTTTTTCATTGGGAAAGTCAGACGGACACGAAAGAAGGAAAGTAGTTGTCATTCGTCAGTTAAGGAACAAAAATCACTCGAAAAAGTATTACTTAAAGAAGATACAGGTGAAACTCATGGGGATACAAGAAATGACACAACCAAGCCAGATACGGAAACCAGAAAGTTAGAATCAGTGTTTTTCCACTCTTTATCTGGATCTAAAAGCTCTAGAATGTAAGATTCTTTTTCCTATTCTGAAATAATAATTAGTTCCTTTTTAAAATGCTAGAAATAACTACATGCCCATATGTAAAGAGACTATAATTCTAGTTTGTACAACCCATCCTATTTTTAGACTTGGCCTTCTCCAGGGTTATAGTGGGATATTAGGTACAGATACACAGATGGCAAAATAATCATTAATTCTTTTTTAAAATGCTAGAGCCGGGTGTGGTGGCTCAATCCTGTAATCCGAGCACTTTGGGAGGCCGAGGCGGGTGGATCACGAGGTCGAGAGATCGAGACCATCCTGGTCAACATGGTGAAACCCTGTCTCTACTAAAAATACAAAAAATTAGCTGGGCGTGGTGGCGTGTGCCTGTAATCCCAGCTACTCAGGAGGCTGAGGCAGGAGAATTGCCTGAACCCAGGAGGCGGAGGTTGCGGTGAGCCGAGATCGCGCCATTGCACTCCAGCCTGGGTAACAAGAGCGAAAACTCCGTCTCAAAAAATAAATAAATAAATAAATAAAATGCCAGAAATATCTACATGTCCATACATGAAGAGATTATAATTCTAGTTTATACAACCCATCCTGTTTTTAGACTTGGCCCTCTCCAATGTTATAGTGGGATATTAGGTACAGTTATACATACAGTAATGCCACATTTGTCCAGTTGCATCAAAAAACAAGATGCTATAGCCAAATAATATTTAGGCTAATTTAATTTTATTCCTTCATTTATCAACGTTTTAAAATTTTGAAATCCTTTTTAATGAAAAACTTTTGAAAATATTTTATATATCTTTTTAAACAGAACTTTCTGAAAAGAGTATGGTGTTTTTTTCATGATGACCCAGGACCATTAGTGTAAACATCAATCATTTTACTGTCTAATCCCATTTCAGTATATAAGGCTGCTTGCCCTTAAACTGAGTTTCTCCAGACTGCTTTTATTTGATGATGTTGCTATCTCCATCCTGTTGTTCACCACTTTTCATAGCTGTTCTGTTATAAATCAGTAAGTTTAACTTTATTTGTAATTCCAATTTGTTAAAGAATATCTTCACATTTTAGAGTGAAGAGCATGGTTAGCTAATTTCTTCAGTAACGGCCATAAACTGTTTTGCATTTATTTACAAGTCTGGGATAGTCTTTATTGAAACAGAAAAATGTGATATAGAAATTTTTCAAAAATGTCACAGTATGGCAAAGATGTAAAAATGTGTGGAGCATTGAAATAAGTAAAATATTTACTTATATTTTTCCAAACTTGCCTCAAAAAGCTACATTTTTTTCCTATTTGAAAATGGCATGGCATACCACAAAGTGTAAATCCTTTTTTTTTTTTTTTTTTTTGGAGACATAGTCTCCCTCTGTCACCCAGGCTGGAGTGCAGTGGCGTGATCACTGCAGCCTATGCCTACCTCGTTCAAGCAATTCTCCTGTCTCAGCCTACTAAGTAGCTGGGACTACAACATCCGCCACCATGCCTGGCTAATTTTTGTGTGTGTGTATATATATATATATATATATTTTTTTTTTTTTTTTTTTTTTTTTTTCTCAGTAAAGATGGGGTTTCACCATATTGGCCAGGCTGGTCTCAAACTCCTGACCTTGTGATCCACTTGCCTCAGCCTCCCACAGTGCTGGGATTACTGGCATGAGCCACCACGGCCAGCCAAAATGTATATCTTAGTTTTTGTTATATGAGTCATTCTTCCTGTGAAAAGACTTTAGAAATTCTTTGTCAGGATAGTCCCCAAGAGTAAAGGCAAAGTAACCAAGATAAGATATTTTCTTTACAAACAGAATTCTCTTTAAGGGTGAAATAGGTCCTAATGAGAGAAATAGGTCCTCATGTGTCTGTAGTAGCATTGGATTCTAACAAACTTTTGTTTGATACAGCTGAAACCTGGGGCTTTCATAATTATTTTATTGTTTGCTGGTGTGACTAAGGAGTATAGTAGCCTTTGAATTAGTTTTATCATCAGTTTTGTTATGTTCTTAAGATCAGAGGATTTATCTTTAAAAAGTCATAATGGTGTTTTTCTTCTTTTAGAAACTACAAAGAACAGGCTCCAAAAACCAGATCCATAGGTATGTATTCACAGTAGCCTGACCTCCATATACAATTAAGCTAGGTTTTGCCAAAGTGAAAGAATGAAAAATTGTGGTTGCTTAATATAGCCTGAATGAATGATGTACCCACAGAAATATTAACGGAGCATCTTATAATTATCAGTATAATTTTTTGTTGTTAGTTTTCTTTTTTTCTGTGTTCTACCAGAGGGAAAGATATAGACAAAGTTTATCAGGAAATATTATGTCTATTTAACTTATCTCAAATTAACAGATTTTTAAGTAAAATATGTAAGTTATATCTTAATTGTTAGTGATCTAATTACTAATGCCATTCCATTAAACGTTGAATAACAAGTATATTACTTTTTTGGATAAGAGTATAATCACAATATTTTCAGATTAATTCATAACAAATCTAAGTTTAATATATTTGGGTACACAACTTCTCACACAATCTCAGACTTTCACTGACTTAACATAGCAAAAATTCATTTCTCATTTACATCACAGTCCATTTGATGAATTAGAGAGGCACTTTTTTACATAGTCATTTAAGGATCAGGTTTCTTCCATCTTTTGGCTCCTTCCTCCTCCAGGTTCCAAATATTCTCCATTTGCCAATAGAAGGGAATGGAGTACATGGAGAATTTTGTAGGTTTTTATGAGCCAGGCCTGAAAGTAGCAAAAGTCAGTTCTGCTCACATATCATTAACCCAAATTCAGTCACATGACCCCATCTAGCAACAAAGGAGCTAAGAAATGTAGTCTTACTATATGTCTAGGAGAAAAGAGGAAGTGGAATTTCGTGAACACATAATCTTTTCTGCCAGTGACAGTTCTTTCTGTCACCAGATGCCCATTTCACATTTCCTCCTTCACAGAGCACACTGACCTCCTTCCCAAGAAAGCCAACCCGAAATCACATCCAATCACTGCATCCAGCTCAAAAGTCCAGGATCAGTGATGATGCAGTACTTTCCATCAAATCTCATGGGTAGGATTCCTCAAAGTTTGGTGACTTTCATACCAAAAAGAAATTCATACCATGATATACTCATATAGAGTAGCAGAACAGGGATAAGGTAATGACAATAAAAACTCTTGATTGGTTAAGTGAAAAATGGAAGGCACACAACAGATATACTACCTGAAATTCTGCTGAGCAAAAATTATGAAGGCTCTGAGAGGAATCTCCTTATCCATTGTTCTTCTTGGTCCTGTCTAGGAAGGGTCTTTGTTTCATGGCCACATCTGAAGTGGGTATTTAACATGATCTCTTTGGAGTTTGCCCCAAGTCACTGGTACAGGTATCAAGTGATGAAGATTTGTACAAAGTTCAACAGAGGTTTTTTTTCCATCCCAGGTTTGTGATTTCTTTCACTATACACTTCCTTAAAAACTTAGTGGATTTCTGACCTCTGTTTCCATGAGTCTATCTGTCAGCTAGCTGCTGTACTGGAAATTCTTTCCTAGAGCTAGTTCTCAAACTTGTCATGTTTATGTTTGGTTGTGTTTTGTTTTGTTTTTCCCACTCCCACTCTCATTCAGCATCAACTGCATTGAGAATTACCAGGTCTGGATGGGAGTTGCAGCCATACATTTAGTCATATTGTAGCCATACATTTATTCTTATCTCTGCTCTAGGGCTGAGTTGCTGTGGGCCTTTATTACTTAAAACTTTTCTTAGTCTTGTAGCCTACTGTTTGGGAATCAAAGGATTTTCTAAACATGGAGTTCCCAAATATCTGGATTCTTTCTGTTCCCTCTGTTCTCTTTTGTATAGTGTATTGTCAAGGATAGCCAGTAATATACTGATATTTTTCTTCTTTCCCACCAGTTACCTTTGTACTGCAGACTCCATAGGCTTGTGGCCTACTTGCCAAGTCATCACTGACAACAGCTTTCCCTATTTCTTTGGCACATAGGTTCCTTACTTCCCATTCTCAGATATCTGTTTCCTTGCTACCTACCACTGAAGTACTAAGCCAAAGCCAAATTTTTATGTTACTGAAATGGTACTTCAGAGCACCAATTTTCATATTATTCATAGTAGACTACCTGCTATAACAGGTAACTACTAAATCTCAGTGTTTTGTCATCCATCAGTCTGTCTGCCCCTCAGAGTTTTACTCTATCTTGTGCCTCTTCCCTCCTCTGGATCCTCTTCATTCATCAGTGATAGAGAAGTAATGGAAGACTGAATGTGAGGTTTTTATGGTTCAGGGCTTTTACTCACATTTTATTAGCCATAACTCAGCCGTGGGACGTCACGTAACTGCAGCAGGAATGGAAAATGTATTCTAATTGCATGCCAAAAAGGAAGATAATACAGGATTTGGCAGAACCATGTCAGTATGCCCCATTTATACCATATGTTCACAAACATAGGGTAACTGTAAATATAAGACATACCTACATTTTCACAGTGAGAATATCCAAGTAAAGGGTTTTTTTGTGCTTAGTTTATATGCTTAAAATATTTACGAGTTTATTTAAATTTACAATTCTAATTTATGTAATATATAAAATAATATATTCATTTAGAAATACTGCTTTATTCAAATCTCGGTTTTCATGAAATCTTTTTTTAAACTTTTCATCACTAGAGCCACTCTTTGAACATTATAACAGATTTCTAGAGCACATGTGATTTGTGTAAGATAAGGGATGTTTTGATTTCTGTCTACATAATGTTTTGTAAATATTATCCCAAACTATACACTGGTTTATATAAAATATTTGGTTTTTTAAAGAGGTCTTTAAAAAGCTTCTTACAATGATGTCTAACTTTCAGTGAAGAAATTACATACTCCTAGGACTGATTAATAAGTCTGTATTAAGTTTTGTGTCTTTCTTTTTCTGATTACTTAAAATGTGCATTGATTTCTGTCTTTTCATGCTAGTGTATCTTCTCCAAATAAGACTTGGTTCAAAATATGTAAAGTGATAAGATACTATAAGGACTAGAATACAAGTTGCCACCTTTGTAATAGGAGAATAACATTACAACTAAAAAAGAACTTTGTCTTATATTCTTGAGTATACTTAGTAATTTTCCTTGTAATAACAACTTTTGGTTCAATAACAGACAGGAGTGGAATCAATTTGTAGCCCTTCAAAATAAGTAAACACTATCAGTATTGTCGGACCCAGTGGAGTGTCTTAGCTAAGATGCGAATTTTCTAGCTACGTCTGCTTCATGAGCACAGATAGCATAAGCTAAAGATGTTCCTTTGAAAATACCAGATGCCTTTCTTTTGCCTTCTATGCTAGTACAACAGTGTGATTCCTTTCTTTATGTTATTATAAATAAGATAGCATGGCATAAATTAAGAGGCACTCAATAAGTATCTACTTATAAGGGATAGAAAGCGTGTGTGTCATAGGCTCAAAATAAAGGGATGGAGGAAGATTTACCAAGCAAATGGAGAGGAAAAAAGAGCGGGGATTGTAATACTAGTCTCTGATAAAACAGTCTTTAAACCAACAAGGATCAAAAGAGTCAATGAAGGTCATTACATAATGGTAAAGGTGTCAATGCAACAAGAAGAGCTAACTATCCTAAATATATATGCACCTAATACAGGAGCACTCAGATACATAAAGCAAGTACTTAATGACCTACAAAAAGACTTAGACTCCCACACAATAATAGTGGGAGACTTTAACACCCCACTGTCAATACTAGACAGATAAATGAGACAGAATTAATAAGGATATCCAGGACTTGAACTCAGATCTGGACCAAGCGGACCTAATAGAGATCTACAGAACTCTCCACCCCCAAACGACAGAATATACATTCTTCTCAGCATCACATTGCACTTATTCTAAAATTGACCACATAATTGGAAGTAAAACACCCCTCGGCAAATGCAAAAGAACGGAAATCATAACAGCCTCTCAGACCACAGTGCAATCAAATTAGAACTCTGGATTAAGAAACTCACTCAAAACCTCACAACTACATGGAAACTAAACAAACTGCTCCTAAATGACTACTGAATATGAAGGCAGAAATAAAGATGTTCTTCAAAACCAATGAGAACAAAGTCACAATGTACCAGAATCTCTGGGACACATTGAAAGCAGTGTCTAGAGGGAAGTTTATAGCATTAAATGCCCACAGGAGAAGCAAAGAAAGATATAAAATTGACACCATAATGTCAAAATTAAAAGAACTAGAAAAGCAAGATCAAACAAATTAAAAGCTAGCAGAAGGCAAGAAATAACTAAGATCAAAACAGAACTAAAGGAGATGGAGACACAAAAAAAAACGCTTCAAAAACTCAGTAAATCCAGAAGCTGTTTTGTTAAAACAAAGTAGATAAACCACTAGCCAGACTAATTTAAAAAAGAGAGAAGATTCAAAATAGAAGCAATAAAAAATGATAAAGGGGATTTCAACACCAATCCCTCAGAAATACAAACTACCACCAGAGATTACTACAACACCTCTATGCAAATGAACCAGTAAATCTAAAAGAAATGGATAAAGTTCCTGTACACTTACACTCTCCCAAGACTAAACCAGGGAGATGTTGAATTCCTGAATAAACCAATAATGAAGTCTGAAGTAGAGGCAGCAGTTAATAGCCTACCAACCAAAAAACGTCCAGGACCAGACGTGTCCACAGCCAAATTCTACCAGAGATACAAAGAGGAGCTGATACCATTCCTTCTGAAACTATTCTAAACAATAATAAAAGAGGGAATCCTCCCTAACTCATTTTATGAGACCACCATCATCCTGATACCAAAACCTGGCAGAGATGCATGTAAAAAAGAAAATTTGAGGCCAATATCCTTGGTGAACATTGACATAAAAATCTTCAATAATAATACTGGCAAACTGAATCCAACAGCACATCAAAAAGCTTATCCATCATGATCAAGTTGGCTTCATCCCTCAGATGCAGGGCTGGTTCAACATCTGCAAATCATAAGCATAATCCATCACGTAAACAGAACCAAAGACAACCACATGATTGTCTCAATAGATGCAGAGAAGGCCTGAGACAAAATTCAACAGCCCTTTATGCTAAAAACTCTCTATAAACTAGGTATCGATGGATCATATCTCAAAATAATAAGAGCTGCTTATGACAAACCCACATCCAATATCATACTGAATGGGCAAAAACTGGAAGCATTCCCTTTGAAAACTGGCACAAGACAAGGATGCCCTCTTTCACCACTCCTATTCAACATAGTATTGGAAGTTCTGGCTAGGGCCATCAGGCAAGAGAAAGAAATAAAGGCTATCCGAATAGGAAGAAAGGACATCAAATTGTCCCTGTTGGGAGATGACATGATTGTATATTTAGAACACCTCATCATCTCAGCCCAAAATCTCCTTAAGCTGATAAGCAACTTCAGCATAGTCTCAGGATACGAGATCAATGTGCAAAAATAGCAAGCATTCCTATATACCAATAATAGACAGAGAGCCAAATCATGAGTGAACTCTCATTCACAATTGCTAAAAAAAGAATAAAATACCTAGCAATACAACTAAGAAGGAATGTGAAGGACCTCTTCAAGGAGAACTATAAACCACTGTTCAAGGAAATAAGAGAGGACACAAACAGATGGAAAAACATTCCATGCTCATGGTTAGAAAGAATCAATCTCACTGATGGCCAAACTGCCCAAAGTAATTTAGAGATTCAATGCTATCCCCATCAAGCTACCAAAGACTTTCTTCACAGAATTGGGAAAAACCACCTTAAACTTCATATGGAACCAAAAAGGGCCCGCATAGCCACGACAATCCTAAGCAAAGAGAACAAAGCTGGAGGCATCATGCCACCTGACCTCAAACTATATTACAAGGCTACTGTAATCAAAACAGCATGGTACTGGTACCAAAACAGATATATAGACCAATAGAACAGAACAGAGGCCTCAGAAAGAATGCCGCAAAACTACAGCCATCTGATCTTTGACAAAAGTGACAAAAACAAGCAATGGGGAAAGGATTCCCTATTTAATAAACGGTGTTCGGAAAACTGGCTAGCCATATGCAGAAAGCTGAAACTGGATCCCTTCCCTACACCTTATACAAAAATTAACTGTAGATGGATTAAAGATTTAAACATGAGGCCTAACACCATAAAAACTCTAGACGAAAACATAGGCAATACCATGCAGGACATAGGCATGGGCAAGGATTTCATGATTAAAATACCAAAAGCAATGGCACCAAAAGCAAAAATAGACAAATGGAATCTAATGAAACTTAAGCGCTTCTGCACAGCAAGATAAACTATCAATAAAGTGATCCAGCAACGAAAACAATGAGAAAATATGTTTACAATCTACCTGACTGACAAAGGGCTAACATCCAGAATCTACGGAGAACTGAAACAAATTTACAAGAAAAAAACAACCCTATCAAAAAGTGGGCAAAGGATATGAACAGACACTTTTCAAAGAAGACATTTATGCCACCAGCACACATATGAAAAAAAGCTGATTATCACTGGTCATTAGAGAAATGCAAATCAAGACTACATTGCGATAAATCACCTCACGCCAGTTAAAATGGTGATCATTAAAAAAATCAGAAAACAACAGATGCTGGAGAAGATGTGAAGAAATAGGAACACTTTTACACTGTTGGTGGGAGTGTAAATTAATCCAACCACTTTGGAAGACAGTGTGGGGATTTCTGAAGGATCTAGAAATAGAAATTCCATTTGACCCAGCAATCCCACTACTGGGTATATACCCAAAGGATTATAAGTCATTCTATTATAAAGACACATGCACACATATGTTCATTGTGGCATTGTTTATAATAGCAAAGACTTGGAACCAACCCAAATGCCCATCAGTGATAAACTGGATGAAGAAAACGTGGCACATATAATAATATGCAGCCATAAAAAAGATGAGTTCGTTTCCTTTGCAGGGACATGGATGAATTTGGAAACCATCATTCTCAGCAAACTGACACAGGAACAGAAGATCAAACACCACATGTTCACTCTTAAGTGTGCGTTGAACAGTGAGAACACATGGACACAGGGAGAGGAACATCACACACCAGGGCCTAGTGGGTGGAGGGCTTGGGTAGGAATAGCAGTGCGTGGTGGCATTGGGGAGGGATAGCATTAGGAGTAATACCTAATGTAAAGGACAGGGCGACAGATGCAGCAAACTACCACCATGGCATGTGTATACCTATGTAACTAACTTGCACAATCTGCACATGTACCCCAAAACTTAAATAAATTTAAGAAAAAAAAAAAAAGAAATCTTGTGTTCAAAATTGACTGCTTGTATGTAAATTTTCAACTTCAAAACTATTCCCTGTTGGACTTCAGTTTTAAAGTTTGAAATATTTCATTTAAGAAATTAAAATTTTGTTTTTTAATGTTGATTTGAAAAAGATGAAATGCACTTCTCCTGTATGCTCTTTAGGTATATAGTTATTTTTGCTTTCTCTTCCTAGATTTTCCACAGACTGAACCTCAGATCAAGAATCATTTTAATAAGAAACTACAAAGAAAACTTGAAAATACGAAACAGCAATTGCCACTGCCTCTTCATCCTTCATGGGAAGCAAGCAGAAGGCGAAAAGAACAGCAGTCTAACATTGCTGTGTTTCAGGGGAAGAAAATTACATTTGATGATGATTAGTGCCTCTTTGAAGTTTTCCATCTAAAAAGAAAAAAAAAAAAAATTTAAGATAGGGTTTCACTCTGTTGCCCAGGCCAGAGTACAGTAGTACAGTCACAGCTCACTGCAGCCTCAAACTCCTGGCATCAAGTGATCCTCCTACCTCTGCCTCCCAATGGGCTGAGACTGCAGGTCAATGCACCACCATGCCTGGCTTTCTCAGCCTCTCCCGTGCAGCTATTACTTAAACTCATATTTGAATAAGTCTCTTGGGAGGAATTATAGAATATTTTTGTATTTCCTTTTCTTTAAATTCAAGTTATGTTTACATAGACCTTTCACAAATCCAATATGTACTTAAGTTGATTTTTAATAATATCCCTCAGACTTTTTCCCTTATTCAGTAATTTGGGGATTATAGTGGTCTCATATTTTCTTATTAGTGCTTATCATGACATGTGCTTTACTGGTTCAGCTCCTTTGTGTCCTTAAAAATAAATGTCACCAGGCGCGGTGGCTCAAGCCTGTAATCCCAGCACTTTGGGAGGCCGAGGCGGGTGGATCACAAAGTCAAGAGATCGAGACCATCCTGGTCAACATGGTGAAACCCCGTCTCTACTAAAAAATACAAAAAAAATTAGCTGGGCATGGTGGTGCTTGCCTATAATCCCAGCTACTCAGGAGGCTGAGGCAGGGGAATTGCCTGAACCCAGGAGGCGGGGGTTGCGGCGAGCCGAGATCGTGCCATTGCACTCCAGCCTGGGTAACAGGAGCGAAACTCTGTCTCAAAAAAATAAAAAAATAAAAATAAATAAAATAAATAAATGTCAATATGTATTTTTAAATAAAAATGGAAACATAGGAAATCATACCTATTTAAACCAGATCACCCTTGTTAAAATCATTATTGTTAGCAAACTAGTAACTTTTATTATGGATGTACAGATAATTAAATAAATATTAATTTTATTATACTTTCAAGTACTTATGATCGTGTGCTTTTTGATTCTGAAATAGTTGTCTAGGACAATTTGGGTATTCTTAATTATATTTTAGTTACTTAAGCAAATTATTTAAATGTAGCAATACAACCAATAATTTATGTTTCACTGCATATAAATATTTTCATTAAATCAAGAATATTATCTAGTTATTTGACTATATAGTCTTATTTCAAAATTTTTGAGGAATCATAGATTCTAAATCTTATGAACAAATTCTGAAGGTGGTAGGATTAAAAAGAACACTTCCACTGATGGCTAAGCCAAAAATTATAAGATGACTTACTGAGGAAAGGACTGCTTTATACATCACAGTACTGTTATTTAAAAGGAAAAAAGAATTTTTTTAATCCTTTCAAATGTTTCACTTTTGCTGGGAAAAATTTTAAGGTTCTTGATAAACTTAATAATGCTAATCTATGTTTCCTGCACATTAGTGCCTTTAATGGCAGAGAAGGCCATATGGTTAACCTGTATTCACAAACTCTCAAGAGTCATTTCTACTTATTTCAAGAATTTACATATCTCAGCTGGGCATGGTGACTCATGCCTGTAATCTCGGTACTTTGGGAGGCTAAGGTAGGCAGATTGCTAGAGGCCAGGAGTTCAAGACCAGCCTGGCCAATATTGCAAAACCTCGTCTCTACTGAAAATATAAAAAATTAGCCAGGTGTGGTGGTGAGCACCTATAATTCCAGCTACTCGGAAGGCTATGGCATGAGAATTATTTAAACTTGGGAACTTGCTTTGTGAGGCAGAGATTGCAGTGAGCCGAGATCACACCATTGCATTCCAGCCTGGACGATACAGTGAGACTGTCTAAAAAAAAAAAAAAAAAAAAGAACTTAGATAAATAGAATGATGGAATTCAAAAGATTATGCAGAGAGAAAATTACGTTTGCTGCGTTGAATGCATAAATTGTTTTTGTACTTCTTTCTTTTAAATTTTATTTTGACATAATTTCAGACTGACAAAAAAAGTAACAGGAAGTCTCTGTACTTACCCAGAGTTTGCCAGACTGTCAAGTTGAGGTCACTATCCTTCACACTGCTAAGTCTGTCCAAGACTTTTTACCCCAACTGGAAGGAGTTAGGGTCCAAGTAAAAAGTTAAGAGGGAAGAGTGTTAAATGTGTTAGTTGTTAGCGATTAGATTTTGTTATAAGTACTGTTGGACTTTGTACTGGGATGCAATGAAGTTACATTAGAATCAGATTAGTCATTTTGAAGTTTGTGCTGTTGGAATGGGTCTAGAAAAATCATTAGTCTAGATCATTGGTTCTCAATTTGGAGCTATTTTCAACCCCCCCTAGGGAACAGTTGGCAACATCATCTGGAGATATTTTGAATAGTCAAGGGCAAGGGGTGGGAGGTGGCTACATCTAGCAGATACAGGCCAAGGATGCTGCTAAACTGTCTATAATAAATATACACAAAGAATTTTATAGCCCAAAATGCTAACAGTGCTAAAGTTGAGAAACCTTGGTCTAGGGTTCATCTGACTTCAGTACGAAGCATTACCATTTTAGGAACTCTACCTGATACTTTTATCTGTTAGGAAATCTTTCTGCAGTGGCTGGTCAGAACACAAACTCTACTTGGGTTTGTGTAAGGCATAGTTCCACTAACTCCTTTCTAGTATTTCGGTTTTTTCCTGGCCTTAGTGTATTCTTTGTACATCACGCACAGGTTGTTCTACTGAAGACTTGAAAGAACCCTTCTACAGATCTTTGGAGCACTTTTTTCTGTGTATTTCCTTCCTCTAGTATTTTGCCTCACAAATTCTAATCACATTGGCCTTTCTGAACTCCGAAGTCTGTCTCTAATGTCAGTAAGGCCACTGAGCTCTTTGGGGTTCTTCTCTCTGCACTACAGTTTGGAAACTTCAGGCAGTGAGCTGGTGTACTTGCAGCACTCAACTCATTTGTTTTTCTTCTGTCAGGTGTGGTTATCCTTTGCCACCTGTTGTCCACTTGCTGAAAACAGTTGTTTGGTATACTTTGTCCAGTTTTCTAGTGTAATATAGAAGGGAAAATCTAGTCCCTGTTATTCTTTAATGGTCAAAATATAAGTCCTTCATTATTTATTTTGATGCTCAAATTCTACTTAATTTGGCCAGTGGGAGCCATGTCCTTTTGTCATGTAAGCCCTTTCTCTAATAGTAAGGAAATGGCTTGCCATTATCGAAGATATATTTACTTATTTTGAAAGTTCAACCCTAGCATATATACACAAGTTAGTTTCGGAGTTGCTAAGTGATAGCTCTGCATAACAGAAGCCTACTAGCCAAAGGGTTCGATATTTGTTTAGAGCTCTTTAAAAGTTATCTGGGGTAATAACAGCTAAAGTGGCAGAGTAGGAACATCCAAAAATAATTCTCTCCCTAAAAGCAATAAGAAAATTATCCAAACTATCAGAATCAACTTTTTCAGAACTCTAGAATTAACCAAAGGCTTGCAGCAATTTAAGAAGTATTTACTAAAGAAAAAAATATCTAAATCTTGAATCTTGAATTAAATCTTGTTAATTAGGGATCATTGTGAAGCCTTGCTCTATTCTAATCTCCTGCTTCCTAGATTCATGGTACTTGTAAAAACCAACAGCCCATGATCACAGTGCAAAACAGCAGCCTGGCAGCCACGGGAAGGAGTTCAAAGCAGGGTTAGAGTTTCTTAGGTTGGACATTCCCTGAGAACTGTCGTTACTTGACCTGTCCAATGGTTCACTGGAAAACTTGACTTGCTGTCTTTGTTTCGTCTAAGTTAGAGCTTACCCAATGAGATTAGCTTTTTCCCAGAGATTATTTTTCAGAAACAATTAGAAGCATTTAAAACACACACACGTCAAGACTATCTTAGGCAGTGAGTAATAGTTGAGGTAAACAGTAAGTTAACCAAAAAGTAAGTTAAAATAGCATCTTTCATATCTTTTTTGAATAAGTCTGAAGTCTGGGCTTCCTCGGGGAACTTCTGTTGCTTTTTTTCTATTGTTCTTATTGTTAACCAAAGTAACAACACTACTAAGCTTAATGAATCAAATTTCAATGACTATGTACAATAAAGAATATAGACTTTACACATAAATAGATCAGAAAGATCACTAAACAACTAAAAGATAGGGACTTTAATAAGTTATGACATTTTTTTAGAATCAGGGAGATTACGTACATGCATAAAGCTGTGTACATGGTCAGGAAAAGCTGAGAAGGCCCTAAACTCTCGCCAGTGGCTGACCTTGAGGCAACACATAAGTTAAGTGAAGGCTAAGGAGGAGCTGTTAACTTAGGGCTAAGTAGTAAAGGTGTGCCCCAACACACAGTCCCCAGTACAAAGAGAAGTATTGATTCTGGGCATTTAAGGAAATCTCTGTCCAGTTATTAGCACACTACTAAGCATATTAATCAGATATTTCATACACAACAAACAATATAGACTTTACACATAATAGAAAGCTCACTAAACACCAAAATATAGCAACAAGAGCAAAACCTGGTGAGGGAAAGGAATCAGATTTACAGAGCTGTTACATTATGTTACTTAAAATGTCCAATTGAAAACAAAAAATTATCAGACATGCACAGAAACAAGCAAGAATGGTTCATGCACTGATGGGGGGGGAAATGAATAGAAACTCCCTGAGGAAGCCCAAACTTCAGACTCAAAAAAGACATTGAAGTCACTATTTTCAATATGTTCAACCAAAGGACACTATGCCTAAAGAGCTAAAAGGAAGTCTGAGAACAATGTCTCACCTAATAGAGAACATCAATAATGAGATAGAAATTATGAAGAAAAGCCCAAAACTAATGAACAGTTTCTCAGAGATCTGTGGGACACTATCAGATGTACCAACACAGGCATGATGAAAGTCTCATGTCACCCAGAATTTTAACCTATAGCCGTACATGCCCAAGAGAATTGAAAACATGTTCACATAAAAACTTGAATGTGAATGTTCATAGTAGCACAATAGCTTAAAAAAGAAAAAGAAACAACCCAAACATCCATCATCTGATGATGAGTAAACAGTGTGATTTATACATACAATGGAGTGTGATTTGGGCATAAAAAGGAAAGAACTGTTGAT